CGCCCCAAAATACAATAATAGCTGCAAGGTAAATATAGTCCAAAGTCCGCAGAAATAAGATTACACCAAACACAAGCAAACCTAAACAATAAACACAAGACTATCATTCTTTGTTATCGGCAAAATAAAGAGCTTTAGTCTCCAAATAACATATCTTAATCCCTCGTACATCACCTTCTTTTTTGTAATTAAGTGAAAATTCGGGATAAGGGATCCCTAAACCCTCTGCTAAGTTTTTAATGTCAATAGTCTGCCCGATTCCTACATAAGCTTTCCCTTTAGAAAAATTCAAAATTCTATCAAATTCTTCTAGAGACGGTGCTAGCTGAAAGTCTTCGAAGGTGAAACAACATCCAATTCTACCTTCACTTTTGTTAATTCAAGGGTATCCCCATAACAACGAGTAAACATCTTCAAATCTCTTTCAGACAGTTTCCCTTTTATAGCCTTGATCTTCGTCATATCTGGCGTGACGACATTAATACGCACAAGTGGTTTCCCTCTAGAATTCATTTTTTTAGGACACTTCACCAAAAACCTTTGATTATTTTTTTGATCCTATGAATAAGACGGACAAAAAAAATGGAGGGTAATGAATATATGAAATTCAAGATGTATGAGTGCATTATTGTGTGGATTAGTGATGAGATTTCATGAAAGGTATCCTTAGATGGTAGGCTCCAAGTTTTGGCCTACATATATTCTACCCTCCCCATAAGTTGGTGTCCTTAAGGTTATCATGGATAACACTAGAGGGAAAGGAAGAAGGGCCTCACTTAAGTGGAGCCTCTTTGTAGACCGAAAATTTCATCTGTAGGCCATAAAAGGTCTCACCATGAGATTTTGGTTTAAGGGTTATACAAAGAGTCATAGGTTTCATTCCAAAGTCCTACCCCCCAAGATGATGTCTATTGAGACGTATTCCTTTTTCGGAATTCCTGCGACTCTAGGCGGAGTTGTCACATAAACTCATAGGGATGATGTATCCCCTTGGCTAATAGACGAACCTTCTTTCTAAGGGTTTTTTTGAAAAATAATTTTTTAAAAAGATAAAAAATCCCATCATCAAATGAATATAATATGATAAAAATACATAAATTAAAATAATAAATGAAAGAAAATAAACAAATAAAAACAAATATTGAAAATAGTAAAAAAAAACCAAACAAAAACCCTAAACCTGAAAGGGAGGCTTCTAAGCCCTAGGGTTAAATCCCCAACAGAGTCACCAACTGTTGTAATCAGTTTTAAAATTAGAGTTGTCACTCTTAATTTTTTTCCACCCTTTCCAAGTGTTATTTCTATGTTATGTATGGCCGTGCCTAAGGGCATATCGGTTGAAGTAGATTCGTCTTTTTGATCAATCAAAACCCCTTCCCAAACTGTACAAGCTTCTTCCAAAGCATACGGCTTTCTGGATGTAGATTAGAATATCTATACAGATACATCTTATATATCGTTTATTTCGTATATTATATATGACATAACGAAGTACCATACCACATGAGTGGATATATAATATACGAATCCAAATATTCTGAATGACTCATGTTATGATCTTCTACATCCTAGGTCTTTCTGTTCCTTCATCTGGCTTATGTTCTTCATGTAGCATTCAGACCGAATGACTCTATGAAATTACGTTGCTACTTAGACATAGTACGGGTAACGTAGGAGACATTTCTATTTTTTCCCGGGGGAATCCTTAGAATTACCACTGCTTAGCTTTCAATTTGCCTTTGACCATCAAATGAAATGTGAATAATCTGTGTCTTCCCCCCTTTGTTTTTTGAAACGAGGAGCACTTCGTGTTCTGTCGGTGCTTGAAACAATTTTGTCTTCTCCATATTACTATATCTCTAGGGTCAATAATTTTATATTAGGAACTACTGAACTCAATCACTTGCTGCTGTTACTCTTCAGTTTTCTGTTGAAGTCTATCCTGTAGAGGTACTCAAATAGGATCAGTGATCGATTTCTAGGTTTCGCCTTAAACCTAATTGGTTACTTCCAATTACGTAAATCTATAGTTCAAACCGCACTCAAAGGTAGGGCATTTCCCATTTTTATAGGAACTTTTGTACCATAAATAATGGTATCTCCAATTATAGCCCCTCTGGGGTGTAAAATATATCTTTTCTCACCATCCCCATAGTGTATGAGACAAATGTGTGCATTTCGATTAGGGTCGTATTCGATAGTTACAATTCTACCATATATGTCTTTTTCATTGCGTCGAAAATCAATTTTACGGTATAGACGCTTATGACCTCCCCCTCTATGCCCTGCGGTAATGATTCCTCTGGCATTACGCCCTTTACCACAATGATGCTGTCCAGAAATCAAACGATTTCGTGAATTGGATTTCACTTGACTGTTTACGGCTCCATTGCGTGTGTTCGGGCTAGAAGTTTTGGATAAATGTATCGCCATGTTATGAAGTGTATTTTTATTTAAGTTATTTTCTTTCTAAGAGGTGGAATAGAATAACCCGGTTGAAGCGTAATGATCATACGTTTGTAATGCCTTGTATGTCCCATAATAGGTCGTATTCTTCTACCCTTTATTGGGATTGCGAGTTGATTCATAGTTCTTACCTTGACACCAAAGAAGAGTTCGACCCAATGTTTTCTTTCTGTCCTAGTTAATCCTGATTTGACATGAAAAGTATATTGATTTTTTCGAAATAACGAAAATTTAGTGTCTGTAAATACTGCAGATTTTATTCCATTCATAAATCTATTTTATTCTTTCTTCCCGATGAGTTCTAGTCTCACTAAAAATACTAGTTTTTTTACTGTTCATTTATTAAAATTTGAATATACCACACCAATTTGTTATGTATGGATGATGAGATTCCATTGATACAGATCCAAGTCTCGATTCAAATACTACTAAGCTAAGAGGTCTACTACAGATCAGAAATTATTTAAATAGAATAAATAAAGAAATTCTTTCTTTATTTAGAAATGATCAATTCTTGAAGTTTCTATTATTTTCAAATTCAATTATTAAAGAAAGAAGAAGATGTTTCTTTTTTTCTTTGGAGGAAATTGGAAAAGAAAGAAATAGCCAATATAGTCAAGATAATCATGTATTTACAAAATAATGTCTCAATTCATCCTATATTCATCCGATGGAGGATGTGATAGGATTGCAAAGGAGAAACTTTTGACAGTTCAAAATAATAATTCATGATTAAAAATATAGTTTTTAGGGGAGATATTTCTATTGGCATGCATCCAGTAGGAATTGAACCTACGACTTCGCCAATTATGAGTTGGGCGCTTTAACCATTCAGCCATGGATGCTTCGAGGGAACAACCCTCCGACTTGATGAATAACCAAATTTCAATTGAAGTGAAATCTTTTGGATAAATCAATAGAAATACATACATAAAGAAATAACTTAATAGAAATACATACATAAAGAAATAACTTAATAGAAATACATACATAAAGAAATAACTTAATAGAAATACATACATAAAGAAATAACTTAATAGAAATACATACATAAATAAATAACTTAATAGAAATACATACATAAAGAAATAACTTAATAGAAATACATACATAAAGAAATAACTTAATAGAAATACATACATAAATAAATAACTTAATAGAAATACATACATAAAGAGATAAATTATTTTTAATTTTTTAAGGAGGATCCTATGAAGAACAATCAATTCCACTTTTGGATTTTCGAATTGCGAGAAATTTTTAGAGAGAGCAAGAATTGTGCCTATTTCTTAGATTCCTGGACGCAATTCAATTCAGCGATATCTGTCATTCACATTTTTTTGCATCAAGAGAGTTTGATAAAAGTCTTAGACTCCAGAATTTGGAGTATCCTAGTTTCACGTCAGTCACAGGGTTTAACAAGAAATCGATATTTCACGATCAAGAATGTAGTACTTTTTGTAGTAGCGATCCTTCTATATCGTATTAACAATCGAAGGATGATCGAAAAAAAAAATATTTATTTGACAGGGCTTCTTCCTATACAAATAAATTCCATTGGATCCGGCAATGATAGATTGGAAGACTCAAAAGATTCGTTCAATATCAATAGGTTGATTGTTCCGCTCCTGTCTGGTCCAAAAGAAAAAAAGATCTCTGATCGCTCTTTTTTCTCGGACAGATGGTCCCAACTTCATCTGGATTTGAATCCTACTGAGAAGTCCGCTCAAGATCTTCAATTATTAAAGAAAGAAGAAGATGTTTCTTTTTTTCTTTGGAGGAAATTGGAAAAGAAAGAACTAGCCAATATAGTCAAGATAATCATGTATTTACAAAATAATGTCTCAATTCATCCTATTTCATCCGATGGAGGATGTGATAGGATTGCAAAGGAGAAACTTTTGACAGTTCAAAATAATAATTCATTCTTGACCAAAAATCTAGTTTTTGGTTTATTTCATCTATTCCATGACCAGAATAGGGGGGGGTACTTGTTACATCGCAATTTTCAATCAGAAGAGAGATTTCAAGAAATGGCAAATCTATTTAATCTATCACTAACTAAGCCGGATCTGGTCTATCGTAATGGATTCTCTTTTTCTATTGGGTTTTCTGAACCGGAATAAAAAAAAAAATCTTTATTGGTTCTGCCGCGGCTTTTTGACGAAGCGAATGAATCTTTTTATCCAAAGATCATAAAAAAATGGGTCCAGACCTCTTGTGGGAATTATTTTCAAGGTAATCGATTCAATCGCAACTTCGAATATGTACTTCAAAGGTATCAAAATGATATTCTGAATCATAGACCTATAAGGAAACACACGATCAATCAACGTTTCTCAAATTTGAAAAAGAGTCAGAAGAAATGCTTTGATCGTCTTATTTTTATTTATCGAACCGAGAGATCCGTGAATAAGGATCCAAATGCATATAAATACAAATGGTCCAAGGGGAGCACAAATTTCCAGGAACATTTGGACCATTTCATTTCTGAGCAGAATAGTCGTTTTAAAGTAGTGTTCGATCGATTACATATGAATGCATATTCGATTGATTGGGCTGAGGTTATCGACAAAAAAGATTTTTCTAAGTCACTTTGTTTCTTTTTGTCCAAGCTTCTTCCCTTTTTGTCTAACTCACTTCCTTTTTTCTTTGTGAGTTTCGGGAGTATGCCCGTTCATAGGTCCCAGAGCCATATGTATGAATTGAAACGTATGAATGATGCACTCGAGAATCAGTTGTTAGAATCAATAGGTCTGCAAACGGTTCATTTGAAAAAAAGGAAATCCCCATTATTGGATGACTATTATACTTCTCAAAAATCAAAATTCTTGATCAATGAAGGAACAATATTACCATTTTTGTTCAATAAGATACCAAACCAAGACAATTGGCTGAATCCTGTGAAATGTTTTCATAGAAGTTCATTGATTTCCTCTTTTTATAAAGTAAATCGACTTCGATTCTTGAATAATCAATATAACTTCTCTTTCGATTGTAACAAAAGATTCTCTTTTTATGGGGAAAGGTCCTATAATTATGATTTTATGTATGAACAATTCCTCAATGTCTTGTTCATTCGAAAGAAAAGATTTTCTTTGTGCGGCGGTAAAAAAACACATGCTTTTTTGGACAGAGATACTATTTCACCAAGCGAGTTAGAGGTCTCTAAGATATTGAGACCGAAGAATTTTCCGCAAAGTGGTGATGACGGATATGACTTGTACAAATCTTTCCATTTTTCAACTCGTGTTCCTAGATCTATTTACTCGATCGCGGACATTTCTGGAACACCTCTAACAGAGGAAGAAATAGTGAATTTGGAAAGAACTTCTTGTCAACCTCTTTCCCCTATTAATTTATCTGATTCAAAAAGGAAGAACTTGCATCAGTATCTTGATTTCGATTCAAACATGGGTTTGGGTTTGCTTGACACTCTATATTCTGAAAAATTTATACCATCCGCAAAGAGGAAAAAACCTCTAAAAAAATTCCTTGGAAAAGGGCAGATGTATAGAAACTTTCAAAGAAAAAGAAAAAGAAAGAGTATTTCTTCAATTCTCTCCAAATTGAAGCGATTACGCCCGTATATAATACCGTTGTTCCTTACCTGGACAGGGCACAAATATATCAATTTCATATTTTTAGATACTCTTTCAGACCTATTTGCGATACTAAGGAGGAGTCCTCAATTTAAAAAATTTGTATCTATTTGGCAGAATATTATGCATGGATCCAAGGGAAGTCTTCGGAAAAAACTGTGGGGAATTCTTCGGAAAAAACTGTGTCTTTCACAACGGAATCGTATAAGTGAGATTTCGAGTAAGTCTTTCCATAATTTTCTTGTAGACATGTACAAAGATCTTTTTCACACAAATAATGAGTCACCATTCATATCGACACATCTGAGATCACGAAATATTGAGGAGTTCCTGGTTTCAATCCTTTTACTTCTTCTTGTTACTGGATATCTTGTTTATACACATCTTTTCTTTGTTTCTCGCTTCTCTAATGAGTTACAGACAGAGTTCGAACAGGTCAAATCTTTGATGATTCCATCCTACATCATTGAATTGCGAAAACTTCTGGATAGGTATCCTCTATCAGAACAAAATTCTTTCTGGTTAAAGGATATCTTTGGAGTTGCTCGAGAACAATTAGGAAATTTTTTAGAAGAAAGGCGAGGTTGGCCTTCTGGCGGGGACATCCCAAGGGGTGGTGGTTTCGCTGATGGGGTCAAATCCATACGTTCGAAGAAGAACGGTTTTAATCTCATGGATCTCATAAGTATTATACCAAATCCCATCAATCGAATCGCGTTTTTGAGAAATACGAGACATTTAAGTCATACAAGTAAAGCAATCTATTCATTGATAAGGAAAAGAAAAAACATGAATAGTAATTGGATTGATGATAAAATAGAATCCTGGATCTCGACTAGTGATTTCATTGCTGATAAAGAAAGAGAATTCTTGGTTCAGTTCTCTACCTTAACGACAGAAAAAAGGTTGGATCAAATTTTATTGAGTCTGACTAATAGTGATCAGTTATCAAAGAATAACTCTGGTTATCAAATGATTGAGCAACCAGGAACAATTTACTTACGATATTTAATTGACATTCATAAAAAGGATCTGATGAATTATGAGTTCAATACATCCTGCTTAGCAGAAAGACGGGTATTCCTCGCTCATTATCAGACAATCACTTATTCAGAAATCTCGTGTGGGGCTAGTTGTTTGGATTTATCATCTCATGGGAAACCCTTTTCGCTACGCTTAGCCCTATCCCCTGCTAGGGGTATTTTAGTGATAGGTTCGATAGGAACTGGACGATCCTATTTGCTCAAATATCTAGCGACAACCACCTATGTTCCTTTCATTACAGTATTTGTAAACAAGTTCCTGGAGAACTTTCCTAAGGGTTTTGATAGTGATGATAGTGAGGACGACATGTTTGATGAAAGAGAGGGTACCATTTACAGTCTTTTACCTAATAACGAGGGTAGTTGCTATAATTCCGAGAATTATGAAAGGGATGATAGTGACGATCTCGACCGTAAGCTTGATAGCCAGTTGAAGTTTCTAAGTATGGAGGATCCGGTATCTAGCGATCTGATGGAAATAGACCGGTTTTATCTCACGCTTCAATTCGAATTAGCAAAAGCAATGTCTCCTTGCATAATTTGGATTCCAAACATTCATGATCTGGATAGGAATGATTCGAATGACTTATCGCGGGGTATATTAGTGAACTCTCTTTCCAGCGATTCGGAAAAAGGTTCTACTAGAAATATTCTAGTTATTGCTTCTACTCATATTCCAAAAAAAGTAGACCCTGCTTTAATAGCTCCGAATAAATTAAATACATGCATTAAGATACGAAGGCTTCTTATTCCACAACAAAGAAAGCACTTTTTTACTCTTTCATATACTAGGGGATTTCACTTGGAAAAGCAAATATTCGATACTAATGGATTGGGGTCTATAACTCTGGGTTCTAATGTACGAGATCTTGTAGCACTTACTAATGAGGCGCTATCGATTAGTATTATACAAAAGAAATCTATTATAGACACTAATATAATTAGATCTGCTCTTCATAGACAAACTTGGGATTTTAGATCTCAGATAAGATCGATTCAGGATCATGGGATCCTTTTTTATCAGATAGGGAGGGCTGTTTCACAAAATCTACTTCTAAGTAATTGCTCTATCGATCCTATATCTATCTATATGAAGAAGAAATCATGTGCAGAGGGGGATTCTTATTTGTACAAATGGTACTTCCAACTTGGAACAAGCATGAAGAAATTAACCATACTTCTTTATCTTTTGAGTTGTTCTGCCGGATCGGTCGCTCAAGATCTTTGGTCTCTACCCGGACCTAATGAAACAAATGATGGGATCACTTCTTATAGACTCCTTGAGAATGATTCTGATCTAGTTCATGGGCTATTAGAAATAGAAGGTGCTCTGCTGGAACCCTCACAGACAGGAAGTCGGTTTGATAATGATGGCGTGACATTGCTTCTTCGGTCCGAACCAAGAAATCCCTTAAATATGATTCAAAATGGGTCTTCTTCTATCGTTGATCAGAGATTTCTCTATGAAAAATATGAATCGGGGTTCGAAGAAGGGGAAGGAGTCTTCGACCCGCAACCGCTAGAGGAGGATTTATTCAATCACATACTTTGGGCTCTGAGACTGTGGCGCCCTTGGGGCTTTCTCTTTGACGAAGGGTCCAATGAATTGAGATTTCCCTATTGGGAAGGGTCATTTCAGGACAAACCGATCCTTGATGATTATGATGAAGAGGGTAAGCTTCAAGAGAATGATAATGATTCGCAGTTCTTGCAGGATGGAATCATGCAGGACCAGACACGAGCGAGATTTTCCAACGAACAGGGCTTTTTTCGAATAAGCCAATTCATTTGGGACCCCGCAGATCCACTGTTTTTGCTATTCCAAGAGGATCCTTTTGGATCTGTATTTTCACATCAAGAATTTTCTCCAGATGAAGAGATGTCAAGGATACTTTTGACTTCCCAAACCCAAAAAATTGATTGGAAATATCTAAATAAACCCTGGTTTAGGAAGAATATGCAAGAACAGAATTTCAAATTGTTGATTGATCGCCAGAGATGGTTTAGAACCAATAGTTCAGTATCAAATGAATTTTTTCGTTCTAATACTCTATACGAGAGTTATCAATATTTATCAAATCTGTTCCTATCTAACGGAACCCTATTGGCTCAACTCACAAAGACATTGTTGAGAAAAAAATGGCTTTTCCCAGACGAGATGGTTGTGACTATCTGTTCCAATAACGAACGATTGGTTTAACTGAATAATGAAATGAAATAAAATAGATACTTTCTTTCTCGTCGTCTCAAGTCGATATTAGGGGATCTTCTCAATTGAAAGATCCCCTAATATTGATAATCCATATTGCCGTTGACCGAGCCTACTTGTTTTGAAGCAAATAAAGAGATCCACAGGGTAATTTGTCCTATTCAGATATTCACGACCAATAAGTACAGAATTTTCTTTCTTTTCGGATAGGTCCTGTCCTGAAAGGAGAAAGAAGGTTGACATAGGCGGCTATTTTGGAATTCACCCGACCCGAGCGTACAGTACCCATTTTTTTGAATGTCGAGTGCCAAAGTCATTGAATGGGTAAGTCACCAATCTCCAAAATCAAATATATAATGTACTTTATCCGTTGGTTTAGGGTAGGGGGATTGCAGGTGGGACGATTTCAAAATGTACTCTCCATTCATTAGATAGATAAGATCACCAAAACTTCGTGATCTGCTGGCGAACTTATTCCAATTCAATTTCAATAAGAGATCTCAATATTATGCCTTGAAGAGGACTCGAACCTCCACGCTGTTTAGCACGAGATTTTGAGTCTCGCGTGTCTACCATTTCACCACCAAGGCATCCTTAAAGGGAATCATATTCTCTGAATATGATATCTATCTTATGTCATGGTTCAATATTATTATACTCCAATTCTAATCCAATTGCAACATAGAATACAACATCTCAAATAGAATACAACATCTCAAATAGAATACGGTACGATATAATACAATATCTACTATATAATACAGCGAGAATAGAATTCTTTCTCGACTAAATAAATATAGCTTCTAGATGAACGAAAAGCTAGTCAAAGGGTCGATTCAAAATTGGTAGACGCTACGGACTTAATTGTATTGAGCTTTGGTATGGAAACATAGTAATGTTAAGTGAAAACATAACATAACATAATATAATACAGCATCTACTATATAATACAACATGTACTATATAATACAGCGAGAAGAGAATTCTTTCTCGACTAAATAAATATAGCTTCTAGATGAACGAAAAGCAAGTCAAACGGGGGATATGGCGAAATTGGTAGACGCTACGGACTTAATTGTATTGAGCCTTGGTATGGAAACATATTAAGTGAAAACTTTCAAATTCAGAGAAACCCTGGAATTTAAAATGGGCAATCCTGAGCCAAATCCTTCTTTCCGAAAACAAAAAACTAAAAGTTCAGAAAAAAAGGATAGGTGCAGAGACTCAATGGAAGCTATTCTAACAAATGGAGTTGACAACATTCAATTGATTAATGAAGATTTCTAACTTCTATTTGTAAATTGTAACTATTTTTTTTAGTTTTGATTCGATCACAATTGAAACGAAACATTAGAATCAAATCAATTCCAACTGGAAGAAAAAATGGTGAATATTCATTGATCAAATCAGTCACTCCACCAAAATATGATGGATCTTTTGAATAACTGATTAATCAGACGAGAATAAAGATAGAGTCCCATTCTACATGTCAATACCGACATCAATGAAAGTTTTAGTAATCGGAAAATCCGTCGACTTTAAAAATCGTGAGGGTTCAAGTCCCTCTATCCCCAAAAGCCGATTGAATTTGCTCATTTTTATGGCCCTTTCCCTTTTTTTTATTGAGTTGACATAGACTCAAGTAATTTCCCTCAAATTAGGATGGTGCGTCAAGATTTTAATGGTCGGGATAGCTCAGCCGGTAGAGCAAAGGACTGAAAATCCTTGTGTCACCAGTTCAAATCTGGTTCCCGGCGACTCATTATGTATGAGTATCTATTCCCATATTTCTTTTCAAAAATCAAATATTGGGAGGAATAGATACATATTGATTAGTGGTCTTAATAATTATAGTGTCCTTAAGGTTATCATGGATAACACTAGAGGGAAAGGAAGAAGGGCCTCACTTAAGTGGAGCCTCTTTGTAGACCGAAAATTTCATCTGTAGGCCATAAAAGGTCTCACCATGAGATTTTGGTTTAAGGGTTATACAAAGAGTCATAGGTTTCATTCCAAAGTCCTACCCCCCAAGATGATGTCTATTGAGACGTATTCCTTTTTCGGAATTCCTGCGACTCTAGGCGGAGTTGTCACATAAACTCATAGGGATGATGTATCCCCTTGGCTAATAGACGAACCTTCTTTCTAAGGGTTTTTTTGAAAAATAATTTTTTAAAAAGATAAAAAATCCCATCATCAAATGAATATAATATGATAAAAATACATAAATTAAAATAATAAATGAAAGAAAATAATCAAATAAAAACAAATATTGAAAATAGTAAAAAAAAACGAAACAAAAACCCTAAACCTGAAAGGGAGGCTTCTAAGCCCTAGGGTTGAATCCCCAACAGAGTCACCAACTGTTGTAATCAGTTTTAAAATTAGAGTTGTCACTCTTAATTTTTTTCTTTAGGAAAAGAATATAAAGGATAATCCTAATTTGGTCAGATATTCTAAGTTGTCTGACTCATTTCTAGACGAATGGAAGGTGTTAGGCACCCCTCATCTACCTTGTTCGGAAGGATACTAGGGTTTATAATTGTAATTTTTAGCAAATAGGGTTTTAATTTTTATTAGGGGAACTCTTATGACGAAGCAGAGTCCCAATATGTAGTTCAAAGTTGGTTGATTTTTTTTATAGATTACAAAGATATTTTAAATTTCGTTTGAACCAAGCCCAGGTACCTTCATAATCCTTTTTGAAAATAGTTTTGAATTAATTAAGTTTAAAAAATGATTTGGTGTTGGTTAGTTATTTTTTTATGTATTAATATATAAAACTCTTGTTAATGCATGAAGAGAAATAATTTTAATGCATTAAAAAATATTTGGATGGATTAGAAAAATAAACATTTGAATTTTGTGATAATAATAAAACAATTTCAGAATTTATAAATATATTAAATTATAAAAATATTAATTATAATATAAAAATAAATAAAGTATAAAAATAAAATAAAATATTTATTAAAACACATGGGGTGTATTTTGTTTGGGCTAAGTAAATCATGGGGGTGTAAAAAGTAGGGCCCTGAATTCAGATACTAAATTTAGGCCCAGATCACAAAGGGGGTATGGTTTTGAACTTCGCAGCAAAATTGGGGGATTTGTTCAGCAAAGGCCCCAAGTTCAGATATTGAACTGGGCCCAGTAGCGCATGGGGTATAGTTTGAAGAGAGGAAGTAATATGGGGTGTATGTTTAGTACTAGGCTTGGCCCAAATAGCGTTTTTGTTTCGTTGGTAATTTGTAGGGAGGCTTAGAGGCTTATGATGCGCTGAGTGTTTATGGATCATTTAATCTAGATCATACGACAATGCAGGCGTGGACTCTGGGCCTTTGATCAAAGGTAGTACAATTGTCTAGTTGAGAATCAGGGTTGACTAGGGAATATGCTACGCGTGGAACATCGAGGGCTTGGAAGGTCTATATAATTATTTCCCTTCAATCTTTCTCATTTTTCGCTCCTCTCTCTCGCTACTCCCAAATAACATAAACCCTTTGTTATTTCTAGAGAGAGGCTCTGCCTTCTCTCTAGAATTCTGCCGTTCCGGAAATCGCCCAGCGCGGTACACCACCAGTCAGAAATCGCTTCTGCCGACGACAGCATCTGGGTGCCACCGCCTGCCTTTAAACATTCATTCAAGCCATCGTGAATCTTCATATTGGTGCTATGAACCCTAAGAACCCTAAGGGTTCATGATGAACCCTAACCAACAAAACCCCGAAAATCTTCAACAGCGATAAACCCTAACCCTAGTGATGTACCCCAAAATTTTCCCTATCATATTTCTCAAAACAGTTCAAGTGAGGTCCTCAATTTGCTCAAGGAAGACCAAGGGTTGACCAAACAAACTCTCTCCTAAGGCAGTCTACCTCAAATTAGGGTTTCAGTTTGCATCAAGTTACTTGAGTCCAAAGGATCCCAAATGCTCACCATTGTCCTAAAATGTTCTTAAGATCATCAATGTCAAGTTTCAAGCCATGCAAAGGAAGTTTGCTCAGTGAATTGCTGAAAGGCCTAAAAATCGACTGTGCTAGGGCAAAAGTCAATTGTGGCCCACATACAGTGAAACTTCAATATTTTTGGTCAACATCCTCATTTTGAAGCATTATTCATCATTTTATCAAGGGTTGATCATGATTCCTCAAGTATTGCTCACAATTCATCAAAACCCAAAAGTTGCCAAATTAGGGTTTTGTAGGAAAATTCAACTCAACTTTGACCAAGCATAACTTTATCATACTTTAAAAAAATGACCCATCCAAAGCTCACTTTTAAGAGGATGAAATTCCATACAATTCATCTTCATCTCCCATGTTCAAAATATGCACCCACAAGAAGATATAAAATTGGACATTATAGGTCATTTTGAAAAGTAAACAAAAAAACCCTTTTTTGTCAAAGCTTCATACATGAACATGAAAGACTCAATTGAGATGAGACTAAAAGGGTTGCTTAGAGGACATCCTAAGCTTTCTAAAAAGTTCAAGAACGCATCTCTAGGGTCAAAATTGAAGGAGTTATGCATTGGCAAAGTTGACCTTTTTTGTAAAATTGCCAAAAGTCAAATGTGACCAAAATTGCAATTTTTGTCAAATGGGCCCAACTTTTTATGCTTGCACTGAGTTTGTAACATGACCCACGACCCATGATCTCTCCCACTTGTCTTTATTTTATTTTTGTCATTTATTTTGATTTTATTTCAATTAAATCAAATAAAATCAAAATAAAATCATGAAAATATCAAAACTAATCAAAGCTTGAGATTTTGTACATGTTTAGGACTCTTATACAAATGGAAAGAGAATCAAATCGTGCAAGCTTCATTTGGACACAAAAAGATTGGATTTGGCTTGATTTGGAAATATTTGCATAAGGATCAAATCTTGAATCAATCATCTTAATTGAAAAAGATTTGAGGCAAATTTGTAACCTAATTCATTCTAGGGTACATAAGGAAGGAATACAGATCAAAAACAGGAGGA